TGACCCGTCCGCTCCCATTCGGCACTAGATAGTTGGTCAAAAGCTCCCGTTTCCCTTGCCTGTAATAAAGCATTCTAAAGTATCAGTTATGAGCCTTCTTGTAGATTCAGCACAATAAATCTATGGTGGATCAGGCACAATTACTGTCACCTGCTAATGTTTTAGTCTAGAAAAGTAAGATTATTACAGATGACTTAATTTGCTCTCTGAACAAAGATCTTGTTTTGCTTTAACAGCAATTGATTTGCTAGAAAATGTCTTACTGATGTATCTACTTCTGCTACAGTATTTGTTTCTAATACACCAGAAAAATCTGTTGTCTTGCAAGACTAGCTGTAAGCTGTATGCCAAATAACCGTTTCCTCATGCTGGGATAAATAGCTACATAATCACATCACTGATAATATAGAAACAGACTTTCGAATGGAGAAGTGCAGGTTTATAGTGAGAGTCGTACCAAGGTTACAACTATCAAAGTATTTATTGGAAATTATAAAATTTAAATAATAGCTATACATTATATACACACAGTTACCATTTTAGAAAATAGGGTTTCATAGTTGACAAAGTCCAAGAGAAAGTTCAACTACATCAGTACTAGAGTCATCTCAAAATCCAGACTTCCTTCTCCACGCTTTAGTTGCTACATCACCTCGTTCAAATGCAATCACAGTACTTTACATATTGGAGTTTGGGTACGCTCCTTCAAATAAATAATTTATAAATACAAAACCTTCAGATTGGGCAATGGGGTTTGACCCCTTTCCTCACTCTTCCTCAAACTTGTGAGCAGTTGTAGTGCAAATGAGTGTTATTTTACCTCTTCTCTTTCTAAGTAACACAGACAGAAGTTGTCCTTACTCAGAAGCGCCATGGAGTCTCCACTAGAGTGCCAGGAGAGAGACACGATCTGGAAGTCACCTGCAGAAACAGATCAGAGCATGTCAGTGAGAAGCTGACAGTCCATCCTCTTACCTTAGGAAAAGGGAGTCAGGCACACACATTGGGAAAATACCTTCCCCACCCTGGAAGCCTTAACAGGGTGTTGGGTTTTGTTACTGCTGCAGTAGAGTCAATCTGTTCTCCAGTACAGAAGGCAGATGAGCTGCACTACTGACTCTTGCCCCGACACCTACAGTTACTTTGTTCTCCAAAGAAAATCACACGTAGATTTTGTAGACTCGTCATTCCAATGCAAACAGATGCCACAAGATCGTTTACCAGTGCGGCGCTGCATACCCCGGTGATATTGCCACTCCTTGTGTAGGGAGGAAAGAGCTGAATCTTTGTGATTTTTTTTTTCTGTTTAATATGCAGAAAGACATTTACGTGATCTAGCTAATGGTCTCATATCACTTACTGCCAGTCATAAAACTTCTCATCACGCAGGCTGGCTTAGGGATCAGGTTCACATATGTTCTTTTACACATCAGATTTACCATGCACATTTTTCCCCATTAGTGTTTTGTTGTAGTTTAGTTGTTTTCAGAATACCCAAAACCATTATAGGCATTTCAGAGTCTTTATTTCGGCGCTTGGCATTCTGCGCAACTACAGTTGCTAGGTAAATAAACTGATATGAATATAAATTTTGAGAAAGAATTCAACATACCATACAATTAAAGCAACAATTAAATCATTGTTAGTCCCCATGCTCTGTCCTTGATATATTTTGTCATGTTTGCTATGTTGCGTTATGAACTCCTCCTTCTGAGGACAGAAATACCTGGTTTTAAAAAGCTCCAGGAACACATTGGAGCCATTTATGTGATAATGCTTGGACCGGTTTAGAAGAGGAAAAAAAATGTTTTGTGAAGAAGCAGCCAATGGCTTGCAGAAGATATTGCAGGCAGGCTTACCTTCCACTGGAACCTGCACTGACACACAGCCAGCCGGGGACCATAAGTAGACTTTGCTGTTTCCTGTACACAGAGCGAGTCGAGGTTGTCGTGGATCCCACTGGAAAGATTGGATCGCGCACATCTGCTCTAAGACTACAAACAGTTTCAGCTTTTGAATGTCCCAGATCCAGACAGCGTTAGGAATGTTGTCTGTCAGAAAAGGAAGAGGTAATCATGTAAATACCTGAAGGAGAAAAAGATAGCACTTTTTTTTTTTTAAGAAACGGGCATTAATTGAGGTCTAACACAACACAAACCGTTTAGGTACACCACAGGTTTAACCCCACTAGAGTTTTGCCTAGCAGTGCCTTCAGTTTTGCCTTGGAAATATTGCAAAAGGTATACAAGAAGTGACTTAGTTCATCCTCCAGTCCTTCACTGCCTGTTACCAAATCATTCACAATTACGCTGCTGTTGATGGGTTTTGCATCTGAACACTGTTTTTGTTCCAGACATAAACAGCCCTTCAGGATCACCAAAGGGAAAGATTAAACGTTAATTCCATGACTTTCACTATTTGAGGTAATCAAAAGGCCCCTACTACCAGGTTGTGAAGAATTCTGCATTTCAAGAGACACTTGACGTAAACGAAGGAGGAAAGATACCTCTGAACATGAAAAGCATACTATTTTCAGTAAATACAAAGCCAAGACCGAGTTAATGCACTGATATGCAGTTCTAGCAGCTCCCAAGACTTCAGGTATGCTAGAAGACATGGTTCTGAATGTCCTCTGTAGTTATACATTTGCACAAGGGAGAGCTGTTTTTTAGATAGGGCTGTGAGACTTCTCATGGTGCAAAATAACTGGCCAACTATCATCCTCGGTTCTCTTATGAAAACACACCACACACAATGAGTAGGTTTCCCCTTTAATATAGGGCAGTAGGAACTTACCATTTTTAGTTGCCAGGAAACAGTTATCTGGACTGAATGCCAACATCCCAATTCCCATTTTGGGATTTGCCCTGTCAGTAGCTGGTTTGATGTACTGTAAAGAAACTGGCATCTGGGAAATGTCATCTGGAATTTGAAATAAAAGTACTTTACTAAGCAAGCCTGAATGGGCAAAATATTTACATTCCAACTGTTAAAAAACCCGCATCTCTGAAGTGATAGGACCATATTTTACTCTTCTCCAAGATGTTCCAATCAAAAGCTGCAATTGTTTTAAGGTATTGCATCTTCATATAAACAGCTTACTATTCTTGCCCTTCTACAAAAAAAGAAACGCTGGAAACCCAGGCAAGTCTGAGATTCAACTATGAAAAAAGGAAAGCTCAAATCCTCTGCTACCTTTTAATTAGCATTTCAAACGAACACCAATGCAAAATAAAGGTAATTTACAGTACCACAAACAATGAGACAGTAAAAAAAACAGAGAACAAATAGAAAAAGATACTAGTAGTACATTGTCTGCCATCTCTTTCATATTTTGAAGCCTGTTGTCTGGAGGCAAGTTTAAAGCATTGCTACGACTACAGCTTCTCAGACAAAAGCCAAATGGCCTTTTTCATGCTCTGCTTTTTTACTTAAGCTGACACCTAAGGAATTACTTACTGTTCTAAAACAGACAGCAAGAATAACACCTTCTGATTTTTTTTTTTAATTATTTGAACTACCACACACTATGGTAAGATTCTTAATTGCAATAGGTCTTCTGCTTCTAGCAGTCACCTGCAGCCATTAAACTAAGTCGTGAAATAACATTGCATAGATCAAACAAAACAAACAAATCCACTCAACGCTAAGACAACTTTTGCAAGCAACTCCAAGACCGAGATCTGGCTGCTATTTCTACGCCCAAGCAACAACAGGTCTTTTCTACGCTATCCCGCTAGCCTTCCACCTGCCTTCAAAGCACCATGCAGACAGCAGCGCCTCGTGCAGGGTGCTTACCGCCCTGGGAGCTCTTCAGTTAACTTGGGAGCCTTGAGCCGAGCATCAAAGAGGCAGTGTTCGCCTATAATGCTTACAGAAAGACTCCACGCGGCAAACTCAAGTGTCTCATTTTAGTAAACTTTGGCTTACATTTACTTTGTGTGCTGAAGCGAGAACTAGCCAACGTTCTTGTTGGAGGGAAAGAAAGTCTCTCTGTTTCAACAGATGGGGATTTCTCCACTTCTTTATACACAATCTACAAAGAAACAAGTGAGAGTTCTATAGACAGAAGGGCCTCGGAGAATTGGAACACGGGCTATTACCAAATCACCCACATCCCACTAACTCATTTGCAAGCATATTATATCTCTGCGTCCCCTAGTTCATCAGTGGAGAAAAAGGCTTCAGTAGGCAAATACCGAATCCAGCATTCTCAGTGAATCATTTGCTATTTGGAACCATGATCAGGAAAACACTCCTGTGACAAATAAACGAACCTTGAAGTCTATGAAGAATGAGCCTGCCAGAGTACCCCTCATTCGTTATTCCCGAGAGCTAAATCTGGCAGTACAATAAATCACCTTCATCACAACGGAACATAGATTTCATTTTTGCAGTAAAGAATCTTTAATCGGATATTATCATAAATAAATGCAAACAACGGGCCACACTGCAGAAGGAAACAGCAAACGTATTTTAATAGTATGCCTTCGACAGATTATTCCCAAAACACAAGCACCGGGATAAAATGCACCAGCTGCAATTCCTCTCTGTGTAGTAGAGATTAAAAGAGCTATTTCTATTTGTTTTTCGTTATATATTTTACACCTAACTGGCAGTAAGGGCATTTTTCACTCGCGAGAAGTTTTGCTGAGGCGCACTTAATGGCTCGTGCCTTGCTTCTGGTTGAGAGGCACCACCACAGTCACGTGCATATTGCAGACTTAGAGTCTACCATGTAAACCCTTACAGGACATCCGTCCGAATGCAAGACTAGTCCTTCCCCTGCAGTGGCGTGCAGCACTCCCACAGTGCATGTTCTCTTTGCCTTGATGGACAAGAACAGCTTGTGATTTTCGGAACAAAAGCTACAGCGCTCTGCCTGCTGCCAGCTACCCAGAATCTGCTGGGCCTTGCATATACACGTATGCAAGGATAAAAATAAATGATGACAGATGTTTACAGGAAATGCTCTTTAGGTGAGCTGGATAAGCTCGTACATACAAGACGCAAATCACAATCCAGTTCCAACGCTATTTAAAGTCACAAATTGTATAAAACTGAGAAAAATCTCTCCCGCTTCCGTTTGCCATCATCTGCATAGCCAAATCCGTAACGCAAGCACCACATACGTCAAAATACACTGGCATACGACAAAATCCATCTGAGAACCTGCTAGTGCTCAAGCTGAGAGGATCATATGTGCACATTCCATCAAACTTGGAAGGATCCCTCTATTTTTCTTATCCTCATGCAGTTTCCCAAGCCCTCTTTACGCATTAGGAAGGGAAAAAGCAAGATCTCCAGAATGAAATGTATTTACGAGCATCTTTCAGATACAAACAGCAGTGTCACAGCGCTGATGATGATTCAACCGATGTTGGATCCATACTCACAGTCTTGGAGTTAGCAATGGTTGCTGGATGCTCAAACTCTGCAATCTTCTTCCAAGTTACATGGTTCAAGATACGCACCTGATTCAAGAAAGCATTGCAAGACAAAGCCGTTACGACAAAGTTCTACAAACGGCTTAGATAAAAGAGGGAAAATAAACCTACTTCTCACCTTTTCATCATAGCTGCCAATTGCCAAAAATTGACTGCTGGGACTCCAGGCGATTGATTTTATGCCTAGCGACCATTCATAAGCCCGATACGTGGATAGCAGTCTGCCATCAAGGGAGTACAGCAATATTTTATACTGAAACATAAACAGATGAATTCTAAAGACTAACGCTCTTGTTAAAAGCCATAGACAGGCGAAACCATTCCTTCCAAACTCTCGCTGCTTAAAACGCAGCGAGTTAAATACAAAGGGCATGGCTTCTTGTCTGTCACTTGAGAGAAGAGGCTCTAGGCTTCCAGTTCGGCTCTGTTGGCACTCACAGAACACGTCCACCCTGTCCACAAGAGCACAAACACCCCACCAGGCCTGAACAACGGCCCATCCAGCCCAACACGCTTCAACAACATCAGTAGCAGATGCCATTATGCAGACTCTCACGCTCCTTCAGCATCTGCAAGCCATCTGATCAGGGATGGAACAACCCTGCCCATTCCCAGGACTACTTGTTTTGATCATGCTGCCCATAACTTTATGGCCACAGGAGGGCACTTTTCTATACCTAGACGTTCACCTACTCTGAGCAGAAAGCATAGCGCATATATATATGCCCTGCTAACTTTCTGGATGAGTATTTTGACTTCACTGTAAAATTACTGTGCAACATAATGTAAAGCAAAATGGTAGAAGAGTCTTACAGAAGACTTCTTTTGTTTTGTTTTGTTTTTTATTATTTCAATAGTGGCTTCTGCAATGTTTACAATAATTTCTTTTCCCAAGGTAAATTAGAAAGAAAGCTAATAAGATAATTTGCTGTCATTAAATATGTATGTAACAGTTTGACATTCACTTGTAAGGACGTCCATTACCAGTATAAGTACAATCTTTAAAATGGTTTGAGTTCAGCTTCTGTAATGTTTAAAAAAAAAATATAACACTAGTTCTTTTAGTTGCTGATTTATACATGGCAGCTACAAGCCAACTTGAAGTCTCCAAGAAAATATTCTGCTTTTCCCTCATACCTCCAGACACGTATCCCACGCTGCCAGAACACAGCCATTGGGAGCCCATTCAATCCCAAACAGATCTTGCGTTTCCGTGTCAAAATGCTGTCCCCAGAAGAGAAAAAACAAACCCATTTGTAATAGTATACTAACAAATACTAGTGCACCTGACCTAACACAGCCCTCAGTTTTATCCTCTGAAGTGCTACCACAAATGCAAAAGAGCCTTTTGTATGCTAGTGTAGAAACAGAAGTATTTTCTTTTGCCACAGTATGCTGCATTCACTGGTTCTTTGGTTTCCCTTTAAAGAAAAGACAAAAAGTCGCTATACCTTAAAACAAACAGCATTTCATAAGAAAATAAAAGTAGTTACACTGAATCAGCCAAGAAATCTAGCTAGCCTAATTCATTGCCTCAGAGAGACTGGTACAGGATCATTAGGGAAGAGCTTGTGAACATTACAAGCATTTAGTGCTATTCCCCAAATTTTGCTATCAGCTTCTAATGAGACGCAGAAATCCTGAGCCAGAGGTGACACTACATGCGGACTAGTTCTTACCGTGTTTTAATTCTCAAATCCACCTGGCCCTCCAAGACATGCTGGTGTGCATTCTTCCCAGACTAGTCTCATCGTTAAACAGATAATACGACAATTTATATTATACATCTCAAATGATCTCTTTATCAAGCGTTTGATACTTTCATTATTATTAATGCAGCAGTGTTTATTGTAAATAAGCTCAGGCAAGAATTTAAAGGTGAAATTTTGCATTCCATCAGAAAGTCCTTAAGAACATATATTCTATTTTGGTCTCCTCATCAGCATACTGCTTCAGAAGTATGCCCGCAGACCTGCGAAGGAGCCAGATGCTGGATAGAAAATGCATTGGCAAGTCTAAAACCAGATTACCGAAGCAACCGAGTTTAGCATGCGGCATATGCTTGTAGTCCACGCAGAAACAGTGGAAGGCAAGGATGTAGCTTACTCTCAGTAGCTGCCAGTCACTGCATACAAAGATGCTAACGAAGTCCTTGCAGTCACGCCTTTCTGCTACTGCCATATAGCGGCCATCCTTAGTGAAAGCTATCCCTGCCAATGAGAGAAAGTTGATTAAAAAAAACCCAAAATAGAGAGAAAACAAGATAGAATAGCTGACAAGCCTTCTGTGAAAAGCGGTTACTCCCAATTTAAAGAAACAGTAAAAAGAGAAGGAAAAATATCTTCACAGAAGATCACATTCATAAGGCAATGCATCATTTTACTAATTTGCTTGTGTTGGCAGTTCTTAAACTTTGACGATACTATTTCTAAGGATGCAGCTTCACGGCTATTGCAGAACTTCAGCACGCGTCAAAAACCACGTTTGATTACTGACAGACAGTTGTTATATAAAACCCACAGATTTCAAATAAACAGTTCATTTAGTCTAGCTAAATGGATTAGTTATGCAACCATCCGTACTCCACCAACTTCCAGGCATCGGTCCCCGTCCGCTCTTATTTTACATGTAATACTTAATTGCCTTTGTCATATACGGGATATTACTATATACGAGCCTCAGGCAGGAAACTGCTAACCACAGCCATGTGGCTAGACAGTCCCGACAAGAGCTTCCCTTTCAAGCCTTTTCCTGTATAAAAGATGACAAAAGCCACTTTGGATTAGTGTTTTTCATCACCAATACATCCAGCTTAAGTTCACGTCTCAAAGGACCCTTCAGAGGTGAACACAACAGAAAGACGCGTATTTGGAGCGTGGGCACACAGATCAGCCGTAATCCTTCGTTCGCAGCGAGAATACGACAACCCCAGAGCACATCTGAGCATGCTGTGGCAGCAGGTGATGCCCAGCTCCTGACCTCGAAGACCCACGCCCCTGAGGGTGAGCCGAGCCCCCAACAAGGAGGGTGCCAGAGTCTGTCCCGAAACACGTGTTTCCTCGTTACACGTCACGTTCATCTTCCCCCTTCTGCCGTATTAAAAAATACCATTCCTGCATTAGATTTGCGACACTTACCCTGCTGACAAGCTTTGGGATACTTGATGTAAGACACCGATTTTGTACACAAGGACCACACAGTTATCCGCAGCTGTCACAAAGAGAAGGCAACAAGGAAGTATTTATTTTTTTATCTACAAAAATAAAAAAGTAAATAGAAACCCATAAACCTAATTCAAGAACACAAAGTAGATCAATATACCTTCTGTGGTTAATTAAACTTTGCAGCTATTCTCTGTAGCTTAAACACAAAGCCCTGGGAAGTAATTGTGAGGAATGACCTCCCAACCACCACATTAAAAGTTTCGACTGTCACAGAATCTGGAAGAGGGGTAAGAAGTTTCTCGCATTTATGAGCGGGTGGGACATTACACCAGCTTACGAATATCATATCACTTGGGACAAAGCTACCAGGTATGAAAATTTAGCTGTATTTTTCACCTTTTAGACACAGTCAGGTTTGACAGCTAATTTGCATTTTGCTCTTCCCTCCTCAGCCACCCACAAGGCGGCAACATCACGTAATTACCGAAAAGAACAAGAACAGAACCAAAACACAGTGTGCAAAGCAAGGCATTGAACATCTCATTTGGGGTATTTCTGGAGGCTTGTGCATCCATAAAACACAAAAACTGCAGAGAAGGCAGTCAGCTGCAAAAGCAGCCTGTCCACAGCTCTTCAAGGTCACAGCCTGCATTCTGGAAGCTCTGTGTTGCCATCTGCAGATTATTCAATTAAAAACAAATACTTCCTCTCCCTTAGCAACGGCAGCCACCCCAGACATATGTGCATCAATCAGTGTGTCATGCGAACCTTTGCATTTATATCTGGAGCAAGGAATGTTTCCAGTGCAGTTTTTTTCTTGTGTTTTCCTACATTTTGTGGCACCAAGGTAAGAGATACTAGAACAGACACAGGTAAAACCGTTCTTGCAATAAAGCGCCCTGGTCATAAAGCTACCTTTCGGGGACCCACTGAACAAGAAAAATAGTTCTGATGCATTATATAAGTAAAACTTCAGCACTGTCTATCATTTCATCCTCCTCCTGCATCAGACGCAGGCCATCAGCATCACCGGCAGTCTCGGGAAAAAGTTCCTGCTACGCTTTTTTGTCCTGGATGCACGTTTTCCTTCCCTGAAGTAATATTCAGTGGTGCCAAAGGACCCCAAGGTAGAATCCTATGTATCTGTTCTACCTGGAAAGGCTACAGTCCGTGTTGCAGGAGAATTCGGACTTTTTTTTCCTTGCTGATATTATCATTTTTGCTAGAAAGCGCGATTCAAGTAATTGACATCATGTTCAAACCAAACTTCAGAATCCTAATAAATGCTGCCGCCTTCCAGAGATATGTGGAGGCCCAAAGCAAAACAGCAGCATTAGCTGTCTTCCCTACTGCTTTTTATACACAGAAAAACATTTTGAGACTTGAAGAGACAACATAAAACAAATTATTTCTTTTTAAATTTATTACAGGAAAGAGCACAACCAGATCAGATTCCAGTCTGCTTCTATCTAAAGTTTATAAAAAGGTATTGGACCGCTATTTAATGCGGTGTTTATTATTCTCTTCCTTTATTTTACAGGCATGAAATTACAACTAGACATCTATAGCACCACCTTCAAAAAAACCTAGAGGAATCCATGAGATGAACTACATTAATCAAGTTTTATCACTGCAACTGCTCACTTCCGGACATACAAAAATACAGCACTGTTAGCCTGCTCTTCATGCAAGATTTACTTTAAAAATACCAACACAATGCCTACTCACATTCTTCTATGGCAACTGCAATAGTGATACGCTACTTGCTCCTATTAATTGCAGCGTTGAATGTACTTGCTCCTATTCCTCCCTCAACCAAAACACGCAGCATACACAACACGCATTCTACAGCCACTTAATACAAGCTTAGCAGCTGCAAGCTTTGAATGCTGAGGTCTAGATTGTAATTTTTCCTGGCAAAGGCATCCCAGTTTACATCTGTGCTGCTACTTGGCCTCACCATCAACTCACCTGGCCTTCTGTGCGCCAAACGCACTTCTGTCCTGGACCAGGTAGGCTGGCTGACAGCCTCAAAACAGGGCAAAACCCTCCTGCTCACATCAAGCTCAAGGACATGGGAAGAGGAAAATCCCTAGAGCGGAGAAAAAGCACCTCAACATGCCAAGCTCTTACTGTTGCCTCCACCTTGCCCAAGATGCCACCGCCAAAGAGAAAAGGCAAGTACACATTGGTTTTGAAAAGTCTTTCCGCATCTGTCTCCACTTCACCCTTGGGTGCCGCCCTCTCTTTGCCATTCAGACAGAACCTTCTCTAAACCGGTTGAGTTTTGTCACTCTCCAGAGAAAGACACTAGTAACGGTCTCCCTGTTCATTCTTGTCATGTTGCGCTTAACCACTGAGCATGCACTTCACCGGCACCGAAAGTTTCAGTAACATTAAATGTTGATATTGTTGGAGCGGTACTGTATTGCCCCATATACCTCCCCGACACATCATTTCTAGCATGGACGGCATAAACTGCGATACTGCCATTGCAGTACTGGGGAGTGACTACCACCCAACCAACATGCAGTCGTGTGATGTTTACACCCAGTCTATAAGAAACCCCACAAAAGTATACCTTTGAAAACAAAGGCCTATTATCACACTAGATGCCTAAAACCCTTTGGCAACCAAAGCACTTCACCTTCAGACCAGATCTAAATGGGTCACAATGCACCCATAACAACTCAGAAGATCCTCTATTTGACTTCAGTGTATCTCTCCTGAAAAGGCTGCAAGCCGCTAAGGGAAGCACACAACTGCAAGAGAGACTTGTATATGCTCTGCCGTAAATTCACTGCAACCTCTTGCCCAAGTCACACGACACACAACCTGAAGGCTTTGCCCTAGAAGCATGCAAAAGCAAACCAGTCTGATCCCCAACATTAGGATTCTTTTCGGTTGTTCTATTTGCATACAACCATTTTCATAAACCCAGAAAGTTGCATTATGTGCTTAACCCAGGACTTACACCTCTCTTACCTGGATTAACAATATGTTTAAACTGTGACAAAAAGGGAAAACCTTCATATTCCCCACTGGGACTGAAACAATCTTGCCCAAGCTGCCAACATAAAGCCAACATATAGTCCAAGAAATCTTATTTTACAGCTAGCAGATCTGATTATGTGAGACCAAAACATAAAACGCACAGAAGGTAAAAAAGGAAAGCCAAACACTTCTAAAGTTACCAGAAATTGCATTGCTTTTATTTGCTTTTCTCGGAGGCTTTGTGGGGAGGGGAGAATTGCTTGTACAGCAGGAGAATAGATCGTGGTCAATTAGGTCTGCAGCAAGCACTTCTTCACTGACCATCTTGAGGGCTACTTTCTCTTGAGCATAGACAACTCGATTAAGCGGAGTTGTCAAACTCAAGTCCTAACGATAACGGTGTCTGAGAAGTTTTCAGCTGTTGTTTTGCAGTGGAAAAACAAACCAAAAGCAGAAGCATTTTTAAAATAGCCTAAAAACAGCTGAGAAATAAAGAGTATTTAGATGGTAACGTGATAAACAGTCTCCAGTGCTGGGTTCAGGACTACAGCCCAACGTTGACAGCTATAGGCAGGTGTAAGACTGGTGATTTTCAACAGATAAAAACACACTTTTAAACAACCTTGCATCTCAAATGACTGTCAACTTTTGTCCCAGACTTGACTGGGTCACAAGGCCTCCTTACATAGCAGTGTCTGTCAGCACCGGATTTCAGAAGATTATTCAGAGCACATTCCTCGACAGAAAGCATTTTTCAACCAACGCAGCCATTTACAGTTACTAAGGATTAGCTCCAATATACACAGAAACACACACTTTTTTCCCCTGCTGCTGTACTTCGAAAGAAGCTTCGGTACTTAATGTGGAACTAGAGAAAGTACAATCTACATAACGTATAAGTACAGCTCTTGACAGAAACAGTCAAGAACAATGCTGCTGATCTTCAAACTATTTATCACAAAACATGAGAGTCACGAGGAAGCAGAGGATCCGTTTGCTTTCTCTGTATCATTTATCTGCTGCTCTTGTTTGAGCTCCACATGTGCCTATGAATTCAGGTGGAATGGCGGCACCGTAAGAAGAGAGATACCTGGTGCAACACCTTCCACAGGAGACACGGAAAATGTGGAATCTTCTAGCAATCAGCTCGCCATGATACACACCGCAGGCACACAGAACTGCCTCACAAAACGGAGTGGATTTCAGCA